ACTCGTTTTGGTGTTTACATTAGAACTTTGCAAAGTGATAATGACCATAAATATCTTTCCCATTCTTATAAACAATTTATGGCTTCTCATGCTATTCTCCACCAAACTTCATATGCTTATACACCTAAGCAAAATGAGGTGGTTGAGCGGAAAAATAGACACCTTATTGAAACAACTCACACTCTTTTAATTCAATATTTTTGGGGTGTTGTTGTTCTTACTCCATGTTATCTCATTAATTGCATTCTCTATTTGGTTTTAGATAGTAAAATACTTCATTCTATTTTATTTTCTCATGAACCTCTTCATTCCTTACCTCTAAAAGTTTTTAAGTCTACATGTTTTGTTCAAAACTTTTAGTCATAGTCTGGAAAAGTTATCTCCTCAATCACATAAATGAATTTTTTAAGATTTACTATATCAAATAAAGGAAACAAGTGTTTTTCTCCTTCACTTAATCGTTATTTTGTTTCTTTAGATATCACCATCAATGAGTCTTCTTTCTATTTTAAAGGTCATTCTTCTTTTTATATGTCTCCATCTACTATAGTCAATATTCCTAATATAGTCAATATTTCTTTTATTTGTGGTCCTCTAATTGTGCCTTGTCCATCACCATCATCACCACCACCATTAAATTCTTCTCTATCACTACTTTAGCTTTATAGTCGCATACATCATTATTAACAACCACTAAGTGAGTTAATTCAAATGTCAACTACTTTGTCTCCTTCGACAAATGAGTCTAATCTTTCCAATTGCCCTTCGAAAAGGTATTCGTTCTACTTGTAATCCCTCTCCATAGTATATTTCTTTGAGTTATCATAAATTATCTTCACCTTTTTATACCTGCCTTTTGTCCATTTCTTCTTTGACCATTCCAAAATTTGTCAGTGATGCCTTATCCCATCCTGGTTGGCGTCAAGCCATGCTAGATGAACTAAGTGCTCTTTAGAATAGTGGAATTTGGGAGCTTGTCCAATTATTGTATGGGAAATTTGTTGTTTGTTGTAAGTAGATTTTTGCTATCAAAGTTGATTCTGATGGTACTATTGATCTCCTCAAAGCATGTCTAATGACGAAATGTTAAACCCAAATTTTTGGGTTGGATTATGGTGATACCTTTTCTCCAATGGCAAAGATGTTTTTTTCGTTTGCTTATAGTCGTGGTTGCTCATCAATAATGACCTCTTTATCAAATGGATGTTAAAAATGCATTCCTCAATGGAGATTTGCAAGAAGAGATTTATATTTAGCAACCTCAGAGTTTGTTGCTCAAGGGGAGTCTTTTGGCTTTGTATATCGTCTTTGCAAATCCTTATATGGCCTAAAATAGTCTCATAGGACCTGGTTTGGAAAATTTAGCAATGTTATTCAACAATTTGGTATGACTCGGTGTGAGACAAATCATTCAGTCTTTTATCGTTACTCAAGTGCTAGATGTGTCTACTTGATAGTATATGTTGATGACATTGTTCTTATAGGCAATGCAACCATGACATCTCCTAGATTAAACATCATCTTTACCACCATTTTTAGACCGAAGATCTTAGCAACCTCGGACATTTCTTGGGTATTGATGCGACAGAATCCAATGATGGTATTATTATATCTCAAAGAAAGTATGCATTAGATATTTTTAAGGAAACAAGGTTCATGAATTCAAAATTTATTGAGACACCCATGTTACTAAAACTCTACCAAAATAAAGGGAGCCTATGTTAGATCCCGAGTAGTATAGAAGACTAGTTAGAAAATTGAATTATCTTATAGTTACTCGTCTTGGCATTTTCTTTGCAGCCAATGTGGTAACCCAATTTCTTAATTCCTCATGTGAAGATCATTGAAATGCAGTCATCCATATAATAAAATACATTAAAGGAGCTCTTAGAAATGGACTTTTATATTGTTCCAATAACCATACAAGAGTTGTTTGTTATTCAGATGCTAATCGAATCTGATCTCCTTCTAGGGTAAAATCTTTTTGAATCTAGTAAGATCTTTTTGAATGTTTGCTAAATCTTTTTTAATCTGGTAAGATCTTTTTAAATATTTTTAGATCTCCACAACAATCAAATATATCTTGAAGATATTCGATTATTTAGAAGATAATTGGAGGAGATTACATTATCAAAAAGAAGATTACAACAATAGAAAATTCCAAAACAAATCTTAGTTTAATTTCTATATAAAGAGAGTTAGGAAAATACATTAAAGGAGTTTAGGAATCCATTAGGGAACCTAAGAGAGTTAGGAAAATACATTAAAGGAGTTTAGGAATCCATTAGGGAACCTAATTTCGTCATCTCTACCTTTCTTCTTCGATTTTTATGCTATTTCTATTAGTGTTAAGCTTCTAGGGTTGATTCTGTTGTAATTTCTTAATTGCATTCTAAGGTTAGATGAATAAAATTGTTTATTCTTTTGATTCTTGTGATTTCTATTATTTTGTCTCTTAATCAAGTAAAGTAATGATTTTTACATTGTATCAAGTTAGCACGGTGTTAAAATCTACATAACATAACATTCATATGAGTCCAAAGGTTTTTAATTTTAATTGATAAACTACTTTGATTAAAGTTATAAAATTTCATATGATTGAGTCAATTTTAGTCAATAATTGTTACTTTGATTAAATGTGAAAACTTTAATTAGAACTAATCTAGAAGTTACTTTAGTTAATTAGCTTTTTACTATATATAAAAGGTAAAATAATTGACAAGATTTGGCCTAGTAATATTTAATTGAAAAATTAGTTTGGTTAATTTGTTATGATTAATTTAAGAAGTTTCTTCTTTTGATTGAGAAGTCATTTTGGTTTAAAGCAAGAACGCCAACAAATTAGTTGAGAAGTTACATTGATTAATTTGAAATCTTAGACAAGAAATCAATAATAATAATCTTTAGAAAACAAATGATGAATCCTATTTAAAAAAAATAGTAGAATCAACCTATTTTCTTTATTATTATTTTTATATTTTTTTTTATTAAACAAAATAAGAAAGGATAAGTGCAAGGAGAACTTAGTGCTTTTATCAAGAAGTAGAAAATAAGATGAAATGGAGAAAAAGGAATGAATAATGAAGAATGTGCCACCTTTGTGAAGAATCTCGGTGAATAAGTGCAATGAGGATTCATTACTTGAAAAAGAATTCCAAGATAAAGATCAAAATAAGGCTAGAAGACTTAAGACACTCGAAGTTGTCACTCAAATTCAATTTGTATTCAATCATCAAGTATATTTTATAAGAGAGATTGACACCTTATTTATAGGTGAATGATGTGCCCTAAGAATAGAAGAAAGTATTTTCAAGTTAGTTACAAGCAATGTGAGCACAAGAAAAGAATAATCTTTAGTGTGGACACAAGAAAACAAAAACTTAAGTCTGAATACAAAATAATAGTGACACTTAATGTGAACACAAGCTAAATTAAGCTAATGATTACATTTATTTTAACACTTAATTAATTTCTAACATTGGTTATCACATGGATAACCCCTAAATTATAGAAAGGCACATGAATAGTCACCTAGGAAGTTTATTATTTTAAAGAAAAGACATGTGAAGTGGGTATAACATTCACATGCACTTAAAAGTAATATCGATCAACTTAGTCTTAAGAGGAGTCGAGTCTATAAAGTCAACGTCATGCAAAGTTGAGGTGAATGTCGAGTTGAATTAGATCAAGACCAAGTGAAGCCAAGTTGGTAAGGCATAGGTCATGCCAAAATGGGTTGGGACCAAGTTGAGCTAAGCTGGATAGCACTCGAGTTGAGTCAAGTCAGTTGAGTCCACGTGAAGTTGGGTGGTGATGGCAACCTCCTTAGTTAGGTTAGGCCAAAACTACGGGATGTGCATGGAGGGATGTCTCCTTAGATGGATGGTGTGGAAAAGTAGTGGTAAATGGTCCAAGGATGATGAGCTGAGGTGTGGATGGTGTAAAACCTCATGGCCTCTAGGAGATATGGTGGTGATGGTGTAGTGTTTGGTGGCTCAGGAGAGGTGAGGTCAACTCAAGGAGCAAAGTGACTAGAGAGGCCTCTAAGGTTTCTCTAGTCTTGATCTAGGAAGTGTATGGCCTAAATTTGGTAGCATAACATTACATTAATCCAAGATGAAATACAAGGCTGGAGACACCTTTATTAACAGGCCAAAGGTGTCTCCTTCTAACCCTAAATGCATGATATCCCACCTTTGCTCTCATTTTCCAAATATGAGGCCTTCTAAGGAGTGGAAAAGTGTCCACAAATCCTCTCCAATGATGAGAGCACATGTGGCCACTCATAAAACACAATCATCTACATTCCTAGAGTGTCATGTGGCCACTATTAAAAGCAAATTCTCTCCAATGATGGAGGGATATATGACCACTACCAAAAAGAAATCATCTCTGTTGAGATTGTTGATAGGGGGAGCACTGGTTTAGCTAAACCTACAATCTCAGAGCTTCTGGTTTTTGATGATGACAACATTATTAATAACAACATGTGTTGTTTATATGTTACATGTTCATAGCTTTCATGTTTATGATTATTTGAGAACATGTTTGTGTTGATTTTGTCATTGCTGCAATTCACTGTGTTTTACATGAGATCTTATCTGTGAATGCATGACATATGTTTTAGAAAAGGAAAACCACAAGCACTTTTGTTGAACTTATAATATGTGGTAAAACAACAGTTTTAAGTCGACTTCATTATGAAGTAAGTCGATTAAAACTCGTGGCTTTGCACAAACTTTTCCAAAGTGTGCTGTGAAAATTCTTGAAGAGAAATTTTTTCAAAACTTTGTTTAACTATGTTGTATAGTCGATTATAGGCAACCTACATTCGACTAAGTTTGTTACAGTTTTAAAATTCTGTTAATGCTTGAATTAAATGTTACAACGACTATATGTTTAAATATGTTGACCAAACATTTATTGTGATTCGAATGCATTAATTGTACATTCAATTAACTACATTGATTGTTGCTAACTGCTTTAACTGAATTGTGATATTCNGAATCGTTTGTGTATGAGATATGCAGTGATGTTGTTGGGGAGGCATTACATGGTGATGTGATGAAAAGTGTGAAACACATGGTGGAATACTTGGTGAGGAAGAGCAGGGTGTTGCTTTATCAAGGTGAGTATGATTTGAGGGATGGAGTTGTCCAAACAGAGGTTTGGGTTAAGACAATGAAATGGGAAGGGATAGAAGAGTTTCTGAATGCTGAAAGGAAGATATGGAAGGTTAATGGAGAGCTTGCTGGGTATGTTCAGTCTTGGAACTCTCTCACCAATGTTGTCGTTTTGGGAGCTGGCCATCTTCTTCCCACTGACCAACCTCTTCGTTCTCAAGCCATGATTGAAGATTGGGTTCTCCAAAAGGCTTTGTTTGAAAACTTTCGTAAGGCAAATGTATCAAGTAAGTCTATACTTGTTGAATAACCATTGAGATGAATCATTGGTTAAATTAGACTCGTCACTGTTCCCTAATTAAGCAAACACTCTTAAAAAAGTTCTATTTCTTTAATTGTTATTTCCCTTTTAAATTCAAAGTGATAATTATTTTATCTAAAAAGTCATGAAACTTGTTTTATTTTTTTCATTTCTTTTATGTTAATAATACATGAGTTAGTTAAAGATTAACTGAAAAGCAAAGATATAATTGAAAAAATAGTTAAGATAAGTTTAGACTTTGAAAGCACCATGTAAACAGAAAATAAAAACCCATGGGTTAAATGAAAGCATGTTTGATATCTTGGTTTCACAGATATGATTTAATTATAGGAATTATATGTCAGTCCACTTGGTCAACTCATGGTATGGAAGTCTCACCTTGGTTAATATTGGGCTTGGCCCTTTGTTGACTTGAGTGGTCAAAACGCTGTTCTACTTGACCCAAAATACAAGGTCCAAATTAAATCTTATGCTACTAGGCTTATAATATAAAGCCCTAATAAATCCTAGACTACATGGCCCAAATACAAGACCCTAAATTATTCTTACTCCAAAAGCTTCATGATGGCCCAAGATGACTCAAGAGATAGAGTTTAGGTCTATCTTCCATATATAACTTCAACTCTTCTTGAATATGTTTGGTTATAACTAGGGGGTATGTCATCACTATGTTTATTTTCTATACAAAGGAAATTAATCTCATACATAGTTTTTCACTATATTCAATATGGCATCTAGAGCCTAAGGTTCTTTTGAAAAAAATTTGTTGCCCTTCCCCATTGCTCTTGTCGTTGTTGTCAAAGCGTCATCAGAGCCGCCATCACCGTCCTCCATCGTCACCATCACTAGAGGTTCAGTTTCAATCGACGACCACACGATTTTGCTTTTCTCAGCCAGGCAACCCCAACGCCATCGTGATTGCAGCCACTAGAATCCATGAATGCTCCTACGCGCCAGTCGAAGTTCACAAACGTCGTCTTTTCTAGCCGCATGTGGTAGTGCTTATACCATATTCTCTAACTTCGAATGTTCCTCGTTGGATGAAAATTGATGCTTAGTTGTGCATCATTTTGGAGGATACTCTTCACTCTTCTTTAAAACAAATTTTTTGTTCATACGACACATGTTTTGAAGTATGAGAATAAGCCAATATATTATACACCCATGATACTGAACGTCCTTATGGTGTTTGTCATGATCTTTTCAACGTTGTTTCTTCTCGGCATAAAAAACTATATGGTTCATTATAAGGATAAGATTCATGTTCTTTTCCATGAATTTAATGAGTTATTGCCTCTGACCTCTACTGTTGCCTAAGAAATAGAGCAAAGGTCAAAGTTTTTCATGGTGTTGGCATTACATGGACTTGTAGATGAATATTTTCATGTTTATGATCAGCTTTTAGGTTCACTTGTTGTACCCACTTTAACTTCTACCTGTTCCGCTATTTTCATCAATGATACACGTGTTTTTGTTGATGATTCCTCTACATTAGCATCTCAACGTAATGATCGAAATCCACAAGTGTGACCATTGTGGTAAGCTAGGTTACAAGATTGACAGGTGTTATACATTACATGGACATCTTCCTTGATATGCTAATATTGTTTAGATTTATCCTCCCTCCCAATCACCTCTTATGAATATCACCCATAAATTTGTTATTATCAATAACTTTCTCAAATGGTATAAGGATCAATAAGATTCTAGTTCCACTGCTTCTATATCATGCACAAGTACATCTTTTATTGGTCTTACTCAATCTTCTTCTCTTGATCCTTGGGTTCTTGACTCAGTAGTCGCAGATCATATTACTGGTACCAATTCTTTATTTTCCTCTTTATCCTCTCTGGATAATTTACATTATGTTACAATGGCTGATGGATCTAGGATTTTAGCTCATGGTATTGAGATTGTTAACAATTTTTCCTTTTTTATCCATTGATAATGTTCTTTATGTCCCTATGTCCTCTTTTTAAATTATTATCCATTGGTCCTCTAACTTACTCTCTTGATTGTGTTATTTTTTTTACCATACATTTTGTTTGTTTACGAGATTGGAGTTCGAGACAGGTGATTGACACCTAGTGTGAGTCTCATGGTCTTTATCATTTCCTCCCTTCTAGACATGTTAGCGCAATTATATAATCTTCATCTCTTTTTTCATGCTTAGTTAGGTCATCCCAATCTTGCTAAACTGCAGCAGCTTGTTCCCAACTTATCCAAGTTATCCAGTTTAGTGTGTGAGTCGTGTCAATCAGGCAAGCACAATCGTAGTTCCTTTCCTTGTCATGTCTTCCAACGTGTTTAGTCCCTTTTGTCTTAGTTCACTCTAACATTTTGGGACCTAGTCGTGTTAGTGAAAAATCATTTTGAATTATTTTATACATTGCCATATTTTTTAAATGAAATTAAAACTCGTTTTGGTGTTTACATTAGAACTTTGCAAAGTGATAATGACCATAAATATCTTTCCCATTCTTATAAACAATTTATGGCTTCTCATGCTATTCTCCACCAAACTTCATATGCTTATACACCTAAGCAAAATGAGGTGGTTGAGCGGAAAAATAGACACCTTATTGAAACAACTCACACTCTTTTAATTCAATATTTTTGGGGTGTTGTTGTTCTTACTCCATGTTATCTCATTAATTGCATTCTCTATTTGGTTTTAGATAGTAAAATACTTCATTCTATTTTATTTTCTCATGAACCTCTTCATTCCTTACCTCTAAAAGTTTTTAAGTCTACATGTTTTGTTCAAAACTTTTAGTCATAGTCTGGAAAAGTTATCTCCTCAATCACATAAATGAATTTTTTAAGATTTACTATATCAAATAAAGGAAACAAGTGTTTTTCTCCTTCACTTAATCGTTATTTTGTTTCTTTAGATATCACCATCAATGAGTCTTCTTTCTATTTTAAAGGTCATTCTTCTTTTTATATGTCTCCATCTACTATAGTCAATATTCCTAATATAGTCAATATTTCTTTTATTTGTGGTCCTCTAATTGTGCCTTGTCCATCACCATCATCACCACCACCATTAAATTCTTCTCTATCACTACTTTAGCTTTATAGTCGCATACATCATTATTAACAACCACTAAGTGAGTTAATTCAAATGTCAACTACTTTGTCTCCTTCGACAAATGAGTCTAATCTTTCCAATTGCCCTTCGAAAAGGTATTCGTTCTACTTGTAATCCCTCTCCATAGTATATTTCTTTGAGTTATCATAAATTATCTTCACCTTTTTATACCTGCCTTTTGTCCATTTCTTCTTTGACCATTCCAAAATTTGTCAGTGATGCCTTATCCCATCCTGGTTGGCGTCAAGCCATGCTAGATGAACTAAGTGCTCTTTAGAATAGTGGAATTTGGGAGCTTGTCCAATTATTGTATGGGAAATTTGTTGTTTGTTGTAAGTAGATTTTTGCTATCAAAGTTGATTCTGATGGTACTATTGATCTCCTCAAAGCATGTCTAATGACGAAATGTTAAACCCAAATTTTTGGGTTGGATTATGGTGATACCTTTTCTCCAATGGCAAAGATGTTTTTTTCGTTTGCTTATAGTCGTGGTTGCTCATCAATAATGACCTCTTTATCAAATGGATGTTAAAAATGCATTCCTCAATGGAGATTTGCAAGAAGAGATTTATATTTAGCAACCTCAGAGTTTGTTGCTCAAGGGGAGTCTTTTGGCTTTGTATATCGTCTTTGCAAATCCTTATATGGCCTAAAATAGTCTCATAGGACCTGGTTTGGAAAATTTAGCAATGTTATTCAACAATTTGGTATGACTCGGTGTGAGACAAATCATTCAGTCTTTTATCGTTACTCAAGTGCTAGATGTGTCTACTTGATAGTATATGTTGATGACATTGTTCTTATAGGCAATGCAACCATGACATCTCCTAGATTAAACATCATCTTTACCACCATTTTTAGACCGAAGATCTTAGCAACCTCGGACATTTCTTGGGTATTGATGCGACAGAATCCAATGATGGTATTATTATATCTCAAAGAAAGTATGCATTAGATATTTTTAAGGAAACAAGGTTCATGAATTCAAAATTTATTGAGACACCCATGTTACTAAAACTCTACCAAAATAAAGGGAGCCTATGTTAGATCCCGAGTAGTATAGAAGACTAGTTAGAAAATTGAATTATCTTATAGTTACTCGTCTTGGCATTTTCTTTGCAGCCAATGTGGTAACCCAATTTCTTAATTCCTCATGTGAAGATCATTGAAATGCAGTCATCCATATAATAAAATACATTAAAGGAGCTCTTAGAAATGGACTTTTATATTGTTCCAATAACCATACAAGAGTTGTTTGTTATTCAGATGCTAATCGAATCTGATCTCCTTCTAGGGTAAAATCTTTTTGAATCTAGTAAGATCTTTTTGAATGTTTGCTAAATCTTTTTTAATCTGGTAAGATCTTTTTAAATATTTTTAGATCTCCACAACAATCAAATATATCTTGAAGATATTCGATTATTTAGAAGATAATTGGAGGAGATTACATTATCAAAAAGAAGATTACAACAATAGAAAATTCCAAAACAAATCTTAGTTTAATTTCTATATAAAGAGAGTTAGGAAAATACATTAAAGGAGTTTAGGAATCCATTAGGGAACCTAAGAGAGTTAGGAAAATACATTAAAGGAGTTTAGGAATCCATTAGGGAACCTAATTTCGTCATCTCTACCTTTCTTCTTCGATTTTTATGCTATTTCTATTAGTGTTAAGCTTCTAGGGTTGATTCTGTTGTAATTTCTTAATTGCATTCTAAGGTTAGATGAATAAAATTGTTTATTCTTTTGATTCTTGTGATTTCTATTATTTTGTCTCTTAATCAAGTAAAGTAATGATTTTTACATTGTATCAAGTTAGCACGGTGTTAAAATCTACATAACATAACATTCATATGAGTCCAAAGGTTTTTAATTTTAATTGATAAACTACTTTGATTAAAGTTATAAAATTTCATATGATTGAGTCAATTTTAGTCAATAATTGTTACTTTGATTAAATGTGAAAACTTTAATTAGAACTAATCT